AAACGATTGAACTGTCGCTCGCGCACGCGTGTACAAAATCAACACGGAACTGTTTCAAAAACTACAATTAATAACGAACCCCGACGAATAAACTGAAACCTACTGCGTCACAGCGTGAGGCGACACGAGCCGGCCGGGTTACATTCTGCCGTCATAATAAAGAAGGATGCAACTAACAAAAACGTAAAATGGAAATAAAAAATAAATTTATGAATTTTTCTTTCAGACCCCGTGTCTAAAGTATATTAAAAGGTATCTATATGAAAATTGAAATATGTACGTAGAGACATGAAGATTTTAAGGACGAACTTATTTTTTTGATAATTTGTTTATTTATTTAAATAAAACGAATTTTCCTTTTCATCTTAGATTAAAAAATACACCTGGCAACACAAAAACATCGAAGGAAAGACGCATATAACTATTTGCGTCTTCCCAACCTAATAAATAAAAAAAACTGCCATTCATTTAACATTTTTACATATTTTGGAAAGGTCATTTGAAGTTGAAAGGACGCTAATAGTAATTTACTACTTTTTTCTTAGTAAATATTAGAAAAGCATTGGTAGTCAGACACAAAAAATAACAACCCGCAACTCTTGACTAATGATTTTAAAGGGGATATCATACAAGACTTACTACGATAATAATTAAAAATTAAAAATTTTGTACAACCGACTTTAATATAAATAATTAAGGATGACTCAAAAACTATTGGTCTGACCTCGATCAAATTTATATGGGACCACATGTGAAACACCAGCTCTTACTAATAAGATATAAGCTCTTAATAATAAGATATAGAATAAAAAGACAAGAATAATTGAAATTTAAGTAATCGATGCAAATATTGTTAAAGATGACGTAGCCACTGGATAAATAAGTCTTTTCTTTTATGTTGAATTTGTATAAGTCTTTTCTAATAAAAAGATGTCATCTGTGATCAACAGTTACGTCTAAAATTCTTATGATAATTTCTAAAATATTATTAAATTAGTAGTCTAAAATATTTAAAAAAATTAGTAGATGCGCCTTCTTATCATGAGTCCATGGTATATTTAACTCATTTATTCAAAAATTGTTAGATGCGCCCTTTTTTCTTACGACCGCAGCATTGTTTCGTACCGAGCTAGATACAGGTCGACAGCGGAGAGAGTGTGGGTACAGTCGCGTTCTAAAGTACTACATGGTATTGTTTAATTGTAGAATCATAATAGGTGTTTTACTATTTACTTAGAACTTTGGAAGAGGTGGGAATTAAAAATGGATAATGTTTACTTGAGCATTATTTGTTATTTCTATCGTAAAATATAAAGTAGTTTGCAACAAAAAAAACTTAAGCTAAGGGTGACACGCCGTCCATTATGACGTCTTGGGTCACATGAAAGTCAGATGTTGATGGTGTGTTGGTGTTACTGGATGCTACTTCATCATCACTTTCATCTTCGCTTGAGCTTCCGTCATCAGGTCGATCACATGGTAATTTTTTCGGTATTCTCCCTCAACACTTTACTGCACAATTTTCCCCATTCACCTTCTCCTATCATATTTACCTTTTCGTTCACTAGTTTAGTCATAAAACAATAGATATAAATAATTTTTGTTTCCTTCCTTTTTAAAACATCGTCGCGAGTCGCAAAGTAAGCTGTGTATGCGACTGTATTTTTGGAGCGAACAAAGCGCGGGAACCAATAGCATGCAGGCACAGTAATACTGGCGGATTGTTCCCCCGTCGCGCCCCTTCGTACCTATATGTGATAAATCGCTCAGTGCCCAAGTTCAAGGCCAGCGTTCTTTTTTCACCGTTCGCGCGTACATTAACCTCCATTAGTCAGGTGATATCAATTCAGTTTCCACTGCTGGTTTTATGTTTCAGTATTTTCATGATTTTTTTTATGAAATTATCGATTCATTTAGCTGTACTAACATGATGGCGCGTGAATAAAGCTAATAAAACGTTGTAAAAATATGATTTTTTTTCATCAGGATCAAATTTATTTGTGACCCATGATCAAAGGTATACTTGGTGCTGTCGCCTGTCTTAGTTTTCGGGAGCGTTCCAAAAATACCCTGTATATATGTATATATATATGTATATATACACACACATATATATATATATATATAGTTACGGTAAACAAAAAAAAAGAAATACATTCGCCGAGTAGTGAGTATGTAAATGTCATCCCTCTCCTTGATCTTCTTTCACCTGTAATCACTTCCATCCTGAATAATTCACTGAATTCTTCTTTTTTCGCTTCATCTTGGAAAGATGCATTTGTAGTTCCTCTTCCGAAAAAGTCGAATCCCTCTAGTTTTTCTGATAATAGACCTATATCTATCTTGCCTTTCTTGCCTTCTTAAGTTCTAGAACGTCTTGTGCACAATCAACTAAGCACCTATCTTTTAAATCCTTTGCAACCCGGTTTCCATCCTGGCCATAGTACGGCTACTGCACTTTTAAAAATCATCGATGATATTCGGTATAGTATTGAGAAACAAAAGCTTACCATTATTACGTTACTTGATTTTAGTAATGCATTTAATACAATAGATTTTGATATCTTGTTGGGCATCCTGCCCTTCCTCAGCATATCTCCAATTGTATTTGACTGGTTTCGAAGTTACTTGTTTGGTCACCGACAGCGCATTTATGTGTAAGATGTTTTTTCCACCTGGACTACAGCGGCTGGTGTACCACAAGGTGGCGTGTTGTCTCCTCTCCTGTTTACAATTTTCATTAACTCTATATGTCATAATTTGTCCTCTTCCTACCACTTGTATGTTGATGATCTCCAAATCTTTATTCAGTCCTCTCTTGAAGATTTGTCTGAAGCAGTTGACACTATTACCCCTGATCTGTTTTGTATTTCGAACTGGAGTAAATGTTGTGATTTAACAATGAATCCTAAGAAAACTCAGGCTTTTGTCATCGGTAGTTCTAGATTAATTGGGAAAATTGACTGATCCTTCTATTATACTAGACTGCACACTAATCCCTTACAATAACAAGGTTAATAACTTGGGGTTGTATCTCGACTCTTGTATGTCTTGGATCTCACAGGTTAATGAGGTTAGTAGAAAAATGTTTGCTGCGTTAAGCTCTTTACGTAGATTACGTAATTTTCTTCCCATAGTAACTAAAATTACGCTCGCCCAGTCTCTACTTCTGCCTATTCTTGTCTATGCTGATATTTGCTATCTTGACATTACCGAGGAGCAGCTAAATAAGCTTGAGCGCATTCAAAATTTATATATTAGATTTATATTTGGGCTTCGCAAATATGATCATATCTCAGAATATCGCAAACAGCTCAAATGGCTCCTGATCCGCCTTCGCAGGAATACTCACACTCTCTCCGCATTGGATGGCGTGTTGTTTAATCCTTACACTCCTCATTATTTAAAAGACCGTTTCCAGTATCTTTCTCTTACCCATAATCGGTTCCTTCGATCCTCTGTCAATCTTTCTCTCTCTACTCCTTTGCTCTCTTCCTCCTTTTTTAAGAAATCCTTTACTGTAACTGCTGTGCGTTTGTGGAACTCTTTACCTCTCCACATTCGTCGTGCTAAATCTTTTTACTCTTTCAAAAGTCTTGTTAAATCGTATTACTTAAAGCGCTATTAGATACTTTTCCTTTTCGTACCCTTTTCATTTAATTTATTATATGATATTATATATTACTTAATTTATATGTATTTTCATATTTTTATTTTGTACGCCCCCCTCTATTTTAAACTATTGTTTGCATCAGTTCTCTACGCTAAGGTTGTCTGGAAGAGATCACTTTCAGAGTGATAAGACCGCCTGTTGTACATATTCTACTTTAGATTTCACTGTACTCGTTATTTTGTATTTTGGTGTACAATAATAATAATAACAATAACGAATAAATAAATAAATAAAGAGTCGCCGTATAAAGATAATCTACTGTCCGTGGATGTCGTAAGTGGTGACAATGGGAAACTGAAACAAGACATGGGCAGCAACACCTTTCGGACACATAATAAAAAGCTTCGGTTGGCAACCCTCCTGCCAAGCGTGGCAACTACGGCAATGGAGGCTTTCCATAGGCGAAGTCTGTACAACTGTGGACTTATGGTAGGCTGTAATGATAACGGTGCTACGTTTAATATTTGCGATAGAATCAAAACCAAAATTAAAGTTGGAAAAAATTACATTGCTCATATCCTCTCAATAAAATAAAATGATGTGTCTTATCTAGTTTGAAGAGCACCTCCCGCCCTCCCTCAATTGCCTGCACTATCACCGTCACCACTAATCCCAGCACCGCTACTCCCAACACCACTACACTAGGAAAGACACATCACCGACGACAATACGACGTGTTTCGCCTCTACACGAGACATCTTCAGGTAATCTAAACTCTGCGGTGGCTAACCGCTAAGCGCTGCTGGGATTAGTGGTGACGGTGATAGTGCACGCAATTGAGGGAGGGCGGGAGGTGCTCTTCAAACTGGGTAAGACACATCATTTTATTTTATCGAGCGGATGTACGCGAAGTAATTTTTTGCCAACTTTAAGATAAATATTTAATGTGTTTGCTGAATTATCAACATTCATTTTATATCTATTTGTGCTTTAATGTAAGAGATTTAATGTAAAAGATAAAAAAAAACATGCGTAAGTGTCGTGGAACACTCGGTTGGAACAAAGTTCCTTTCGTAGTATATTATTATTGATAAACGTATTATTTAATTGATTAACAAATACAAATAAATGCGTCATTTAAAATAATATTTGTTTCATGGTAAGATATAAGAAAAAGTGTGAAGGAGATGGATATTATTTCATCTCGCCCGCACTATAGAAAGGGGGTCGTGACGGAAAAATTTACACTTTTTCTCAATTAGCCTCCATCCGTCAAATTCGTATCCGTGCGATAAGGAACTTCATTCCAAAAACCGCCGCTCAGGCGCTTTTTTTTGTTACATAACTTTGATTAATACATAACTAATTGTTCATTTCAAACCTTTAGTTTGCCCTAATGGAAACCGTGACAACTGCAATTCTGGATAGATTCCCTAACTTCCGACAGAACAAAGCGTGGGTTGTTCTGCTTGTCGCTGTCTTTGGATATATCGGCGGGCTTATATTTACCACCAATGTAAGTGACGTTTTTTTTGTTTAAAAATAGATATTAGGAGTTCTTATAGGCATTTTAATACATCAATAATAATAATGAAATACAATTACAATATACAATTTTTGTAAATTAAGTAGACATTTTTGAGCGTTTTTGTAAATTGTTAAAGACAAAAAGTCGATTAAATGTGTATTTAAGCGTTGCCAGTTTTTTTTTCTGGTAAAGCGGAATTTTGAAAACTTTTGGGTAAAAAGTTGTATTCTTTCGTCGAAAGCGCGACATAATAAAAAAAAACATCAATAATCAGTTGTTATTGTTTACTACTTATTCTTTTATTTGAGTTTCAAGTGTATTTTAATGAAAACACGTTACTTTACTATACTAATAACAATCCGCAAAAACCGCCGCCGCACCGTCGAGTAATCCCCGAAAAGCGGGACATTTAATTTTTGCCTAAAAATCGGAACGTCTCGCCATGATCGGGACGTCTGGCATCACTGTATATTATTTTTTATCAAATTAAAACTTTTAAATTATTAGAGGTCCATACCCAAAGAGTAACCAACGTCCGTCCGTCTGTCTGTCAGCGGGCTGTATCTCATGATCCGTAATAGGTAGACAGTTGAAATTTTCACAGAATATGTATTTCTGTTGCCACTTTAACATATACTTTTACAAATACTAAAAATTTAAATAAATTAAAATTAAAAGGGGCTCCCCTACCAGAAGCGTGTATACGATGGCACTCGCATTTGGACGGTATATTTTTTACTTTTAAGTTTTATGGCTGTGTGGTGTAATTGAAATGCTCTTTCCAGAGTGGCATGTACTGGCTGCAGCTGATGGACAAATACGCGGCCAACTGGTCGGTGCTAATAATTGCGATCGGCGAGTGCATACTGATTGCTTGGATTTACGGCGCGGAAAAGTTTTGTGGAGATATTCAACGCATGATCGGCCGCCAGTCCAAACTCTGGGTCTTCTTCTGGAGCACAATGTGGCGTATCATCACACCCGCTGCTCTGGTGGTAATGAAATAGACTTTCAAATTGATTAATTTAAATGAAATTAATTGTTTGAAATCAATTGGGTAAAATATGAAAATTGTAGATATACAATGTGTTGTGATAGTACGACATAATAATTACATATATGTAGTGCGAACTGGTAGTAATGTATTTTTTTTTATAGCAGAGGGGGCAAACGAGCATGCGGCTCACCTGATGGTAAGTGACTACCACCGCCCATGAACAACCGCAACACCAGGGGATTACAGATGCGTTGCCGGCCTTTTAAAAAAGAGTAGGCACTTTACTTGAAGGTCCCTAAGTTGTATCGGTCGGGAAAAATCTCTGGTGGTAGTCGATTCAACAAGGAAGTTGTGTTAATCGTCCAGATGGTATGGATGGTATTTTGTCGCGATGTGCGATGGTGAAATTGAGCGGCTGGAATTAAAGCGGTTGTAAGCTTAATCAATTTAAGATGTGTCCAAATTGAAATTTTATAAATTTCAAAGAAACTAAATAAACCAATTAAAATCCCAAGTTAAATAACTATAAATTCCTTCCATTCCAAGACTATAAAAGTCCACTACTGCGTTCCCAATAGATGGCCTCATAGGGGAGATTTTGCCATAGTTGCCACGCTTGGCAAGCGAATAAAACTACGGTTGCCACAGTTTTTTTATAATTTTTAGTTGTTATCAGGAACATGCTGCTGCACATCTCCTGTTTCAGTGTCCCTCTGGACGAAATTATGGAGTAGCGAATATTCTTACACCGCCACTACACTACAATTTTTTTTATAGGATAGGGTGACAAACGAGCACACCGTCCACCTGATGGTTAGTGGTTGCTTTGACCCATAAACGTCTACATCTATCCTCAATAAAGAGTCAAAATGCAGATGCATTGTCACCCGTGAGTACCACGATAGAATGCCTCTTTTTTCTACACTCACCATACGAAACAGCAGTATTAAGCTGCTATTTTACGCTGGTATTCTGTGAGAGAGTGGGACTTCCCCGGTCGAGCCGACCCATTCATGCTACAACTATACTACTAATATAGCTGCAGCATGGCTCTAGCACGTAAATTACAGAGTAATGTTCAATCATATTCATAAAGCCCTGTAAATGTGGCAACGTAGCGCGGTGCCATAAGGGCGGGTGCGAGGTTGTGAGGTCTTCCAGTGTTACATTGTGTTATTCTTATGTTACATCACAGTTTGTTGACGATCTGTTAATAACAATAGACTATAAGTACCTATGTTCAAATATCAAAATATCGCAAAAGTTCACAATGTCCTGCGATCTGTTTTCTCCAATGTGCTGGGGAGTACCTACAATTATTGTTCTAAGACCACGAAAAGGCATCTTTTTTAATTTGTTATAATATAAAAATCATAATATGTTCATCGTCATTAATACTTTCTTCGCCTACCGTCTATACCAACTTCATCTATTTAAACTTGCATGCTTCATCAGATGTCATTCAATTGAGTGTAGTCATTCTACACTACAATTGCATAATATAATACAATTCGAAGCCGCCACTCATCATCATCATCATCATTACAGCCCTTCACAAGTCCACTGCAGAACATAAGCCTCCACTAAGGAATGCCACAAAGCCACCTGCATCCATCGCATTTCTGCATGTCTTACCAGGTCGTCACTCCATCTAGTGGAGGGTTGCCCTACACTTCGCCTACCGGTACGAGGTTGCCACTCGAGAACCTTTTTTCCCCATCGGTTGGCGGTTCTTCAAGCTATATGGCCGGCTCATTGCCATTTCAGTTTACTCTTGAAACACTAAAGAACCATTATTTGTGATTGTGAGTTCTTAAAATCGGATCAAATAACATCTATAGACCTTTGTGATTAAATAACATAAAAATCCGAAAGTTCTTTAATTTAATTTAATTTATATGATTCTAGTTTATTCTAGTGTTCAACTGGATCGAATATAAGCCGGCGACATACGGTCATTACGTGTATCCTATGTGGGCGGACGCGGTGGGCTGGACTTTGGGAGTTCTACCAGTTGTCGTTGTGGTGCTTATGGCCGTTGATAAGATCTGCAGCGGACCTGATGACCTTACAATAATGGAGGTAAGTTGATTCAGCAATGCGATTGTATAACTTTAATGAGAACCGTTGTCGGTGGAAATCACTCCGCAAATGCGTTATGTTTCTTAAACAATATATTAATATTAAAAAGGCAATACAGGGTTATTTTTCAAAGAGTAGCCAAATTTTATACTTAATTTCAAAATAATAATATACCGTTATTGCCGTTTTTGAAAATATAAGTAAATAAGGCTTTATGGGCAACAACGTTTTTGCCTACTGATCGACGCGACGCTTACGAAGGGCGCAGTAAAATCTGTTAAAATAATACATTTCCACGCATTTTGAATTTAAAAAGATAAAAAGGACAGAATATTTGAGATATTTTAAAATCAATTATTCTTCACCATTTGCCTTTATTCTCAACCTTCTCTGCAAATTTAGCCGGTTATTGCAAAATAACCCTGTATTTATATATATATATATATATATATATATATATATATATATATATATATATATGTATATAATTTAGGGATCCGTATGAAAACTTCGTTAATGTAACCCAATGTATGAAAAAAATACCAAAAAGAATCCTTATATCGCGTATGCTGCGGAAACTATTGATAATAGAGCAAAGTATATGTAATGATACCATACCAATTACTACTTTTTCATGTTAAAATATGAAATAGTAACGCCGGTACACACTAGACCACATTATTCGTACCTAGGTATTAGTCCTTATATCCAAATAAATCAGTTCGTATTCAAGGCCATATCAGTACCTGTACCATGCATAACCACCAATTACGTTAACAATGTAATTTTAGTAACATATTTCACTTTTTTAATCTTAGTTAATTCAGCAACCCTCCGTCGTGATGTCTGTCTCGAAGTTCGCATGTCGCAAGGCGTAGACGCGTGATATACGCGGGTGAAACCGCGGGGCTGAGCTAGTATATATAATGGATACATTTACACAATAACAACTTAAAAATGTGTACTTATAAAATTTTCTCTTAAAATAGATTAAAAAACTTAACATTGATTTAAAATGTTTTTGTTTAAAATTTTACTACAACACGTATTAAAAGTGTAGAAATTGGTTGAAAACTTTCTTGAAGCCAATTCAGTGTTGCCACTAGAGAATTAAAATTACCACCAAAATGAAAAAGTTTGGAACTATTATTATCAAAAATAGATAACAAGCTCGTACAACTAACTATGCTCATAACAACATCAGTGACAAGAAATATTATGGAAGTTTTGAACCAGAAATTGAAAACTATCATGGAAGTAAATACTCTACTTAAAAATAAAGTCTTAAAGATGGAGAAAAATTAAGTGCCATAGAAAAAGAGAGGCGAGGACACAACTTGTTTTTCTTTTGATTAGAGGAGATAAGTAAAACAGAAGCTGTACTGGTAGACCACATTAAGGAAGCTTTAAAAGAATCGGGAACACCCCTAGGCAGTTATTAAATTACCAATGTGTACAGGATTGAACAACGTTCTGATAACAAAAACCGCCTCGTTGTTGTTTCCATTGTATCTATATGGAAGAAACATTTTCGATCTTGAAAAACAAAAATAATCTACCACCAGGCATGATTGTCAAAGAGGATTATCAGAAAGAAAAGTTAGAGAAACGAAAGTAGTTACAGACACAAGTAGAAGAGAAATACAACAAATAAATAGTAAGGAAACCTAAAGATAAAGCCCGTGACTAGAGAAACAGGGAAGACTCAAACTTATATAACTTGTCAGCGCAGAAGCAAGTTAATTAGCAAGATAGTATTACTTTACAGCAACCTACGAGTACCAAAACAGCAACAAAAGAAAATTCAAACCCAGAACACTGAAATATGTTGAACAAGGAAGACTAGCTCCACCAGTTTCACTAGCTGAGGATCCCAAAAAAAACTTGTAACTGCTATCATTACACCGAACCAAAGCAAAACAATACAACGAATTTATACAAACCAAACCTACACAGAAGAAAATTTCCAAGAACCGGAAAAAGAAATTTGAACACAACAACTTGAACCTTAACAAACAAAATGTCTCTCAACACGGCTGGTGCCCACGGGAGAATTAGACCAAAACCCTCCAACAAAATCACGTGTAACAATCAACATCGCAACACTAAAGACAAGAACCCTAAAAACACAGAAAAGTCTGCTAGAACTAGAAAAGTCACTAGAGAAAATCAAACTATGATATCCTAGGAATAAGTGAGATGAGAAGACTGATGGAGAAAATAGAAGAGTATGAAAACTACTTATATCCTATACCATAAAGGAGAAATAGCAGGACACAGAGGTGTAGGATTTCTCATAAAACAATCCCTAAAACAAAACATACTGGAGCTAATAAAAATTTCAGACAGAATAGTGATACTAAACATGAAACTACCGTGCTACAAGAAAGTATGGACAATTATTCAGGTATATGTGCTTACCAAACAAGCCGCCAAGGAGAACACTGAAGACTTCTTTAACAACCTATCTGGCATTACAAAGAAATATTATAACAACAACCTCATAATCATGGGGGAGTAGATTCCAGAGAAGCAGGAAAGAAATTTGTACTGCCATGGCTACAGAAGTATTAATGGATACAGACTAATATAATTCTTCCTACAAAATAATCTGACTGAAAATAATCCGATAATCTATCCATGAAACGTTTTCCTCGAAGATTTTCTTTTATTTTCGGAAATAAATAAACATGGCGACGTCGGAGCTATAGGGTGGGTGACCCAGTAATTACACGTCTGTCGTCGCCAAGTAGTCGATTGCTTACTTGGCGGTGTGCGACGAGGCGTTGTCGTGGTGATGGAGGATACTACAACGAGGTCGTTTCTCTCGAACTTTTTCCAAGACAAATGGCAAACAATTATTAGTGTACCATTCTGCAGTAACTCTTTTTCGATCCTCTAAAACAACTGTTGCGTAATCACCCGTCCTTCCGAAGAACGAGGCCACCATCTTTTTTCCCACGCTTCGAACTCTCTTCACTTTAGTTGGCAACTCCTCGGAAGGAAACATCCAGACAACAGACTGTCTCTTAGTTTCAGGATCATAACAATAAATCCAGCTTTCGTCACCCGTAAGTATGTGGAACACATCATTTGAGTCACCTCCGTTAAATCTTTGAACTATTTCAGGACACCAATCAACACGACGGAGTTTTTGGGCCTCTGCCAAATTATGAGGTATCCACCGGGTACAAAGCTTCCTGACCGCTAAATGTTCATGGGGAATTTTGTACATTTGACTCATGCCTAAGCTTGTCCGAATCTGCTGATAAGTCACACTTTTGTCAGTCTCTATCATACACAGCACAACACTGATGTTTATACGTGGTAGAGCCATGCTACAGCTATATTAGTAGTATAGTTGTAGCACGAATGGGTCGGCTCGACCGGGGAAGGACCACTTTCTCAGAATACCAGCGTAAAATGGCAGCTTGACACAGCTGTGTTTCGTATGGTGAGTGTAGAGAACCGGAGACCCATTTTACTGCAAAAGAGGCATTCCATCTTAGTCCTCACGGGTGACGACGCATCTTCATTTTGATTCTTTATTGAGGATAAATGTAGATGTCTATGAGTCACAGCAACCACTTACCATCAGGTGGACTGTGTGCTCGTTTGTCACCTTATCCTATGAAAAAAAACTTTAGTCGTCGCCGTAGAGGGTCGTCCTTCACGCAGTCAGGTCTTTACATTTTGTATAAGCAATGATTCGACGGCAGAAGGAAAATACTTTAAAGATTATGTTGTTAAATCAGTCTCATGTATCAGACAAATATTGCTCAAAAGCCACAGCAACTACTTGATCTGATTTGGTCAATTTATTGGCATTTTTTTTATAGGAGTGGGGGCAATCGAGCATGCGGCTCACCTGATGGTAAGTGAGTATCGCCGGCCATGAACAACTTCAACACTAGGGTAATTAATTGCAGATGCGTTGTCGGCCTTTTAAAAAGGAGTAGACTTTTTTCGTGAAGGTCCCTAAATCGTATCGGTCCGGAAAAAGCGCTAGTGGTAATCGATTCCTCAAGAAAATTGTGGGAGGAAGAAAACATCTTCTAAATCTTCTGGACATCTGGACATCTTCTGGACCGCCAATCATCCAGATGGTATGGATGGTATCGCGAGTTTTGTTGCGATGTGCGATGGTGTAATTGAGCAGCTGGAATTAGTCCAAACAATTCCTCAGGGTACTCCCCGTGATAGATGCGATAAAATACGCAAAGAGATGCAACATCTCTTCGCAGCGCCAGTGAATCGAGCCGCTCGAAAAAGACTCGGTCGTCGACGATTCGAACCGCTCTGCGCTGGATGCGGTTAAGTGGAAGGAGCTGGCACTGGGGAGCCCCTGCCCAGAGATGGGAACAGTATGTGAGGCCGAACCTGCGCCTTGTAAAGTTGCAGGCGGTGTGCTGGCATGAAATACTGTCCCGCTCTGCTGAGCACGCCAAGCTTTTTAGAGGCCAATTTGGCTTTCTCTTCCAAGTGACCACGAAACTGCACGTCACTCGATATGTCGACTCCGAGGATTCCGATACTGACTGAGGCAAGAAAGGGAGTGCCTTAAAACTGAGGAGATACGACAAAGGGGTTCTTTTTAGCGGCGCTGGGGAACCCCAGCCCAGAGATGGGAACAATATTCCATGTGAGGCTGAACCTGCGCCTTGTAAAGTTGCAGGCGGTGTGCCGGCATGAAATACTGTCCCGCTCTGCTGAGCATGAAGCGAAAAGAAGCGCTTTGTGCCAAACCCAATCGAAGGTCTTCATCATCATCATCATCATTACAGCCCTTCACAAGTCCACTGCTGAACATAGGCCTCCCCCAAAGAATGCCACAAAGCACGGTCCTGAGCCACCTGCATCCATCGACTTCCTGCATATCTTACCAGGTCGTCACTCCATCTAGTGGGGGGACGCCCTACACTTCGCCTGCCGGTACGAGGCTGCCACTCGAGAACCTTTCTTCCCCATCGGTTGTCGGTTCTTCGAGCTATATGGCCGGC